ATATTTTTAAATTACTTTGACTTATTTTATGTAACAAATGCTGAAATATTAAGAGAGATGAGAAAATGTTGCAATATATACAAATTATTTGTAGAAGTACACTTTTTGTACAGCAAATGCTTTTGACTAGCTATGGAGAAGTAGGCTATTGATCACTTATAACCAATACATAGAGTTTACCATCCAAGTTTCAGGGATATTTCAGTATTTTATCTGATAATGCTGCCAAAGTAATTCTAAGAACTTGAGTTAGGTTACTAATACTTTAAAATTAATCCTTCAGGATAATTTTTCTGTGGTGGTATCTGAGTGTGGCTATTGTATTGTCTTTATTTAAAGTTCTAATGAAAATAGTCCAGGGCTTCTGGAAAGGAAACAAGGGGAAGCAACTCACATTTTTGCTCACTTTAGAAAAGAATGAGAAAATATACATTGTAGTGATTTAATTTAGGATCTCTGATAACTTCTTGCTCTGCTGTTAACAAAAGGGAAAACAATTCTAGCAAAAATGTATCTGGTCTCCTTTGTTCTTACACCACACAGCCACCAACAACAGCATCTTACAAATGTGAAAGGGGAGGTCTGGGTAGCAGGGCTGAAGGTGCAAACTTAGTTGCTCAAAGTTGTGGTAGGAAGGTGATGGTCAGTCTGGTTCCATCTGAGAGAGAAATGAGAGGTTTGGATTTTTTTTTTTCTTACTAATCAGAACTTCTCTTGAAAGATGGCTGTACATGTAGGTGCAAAAGAGTGAAGAAAACCCCCCCAGAATTCAGGTTGACTTTGTGAACTTTGATATATTCATAGGTATTATGACAGTGACATTACTAATATGATCCCTCATTACATTTTTCCTTTATTTTTGTCATTTAGACACACAGGGAACTACGCCGCATCGGGGCAACACCAGTGTGCTGTGAATATGCCTGTTGTCCAAACAGTCCCTACCTTATTAATTCCCAAATGTGGAAGATGCTTGGTGCAGGCTGTCATGTGGCTGTGAGGCTGAATGCCATCTTCGAATTACCTCCCTGCCTCTGCCACCAGGGTTGCTATGAGATGCCGAGCAAATCACATAAACTGACACAGTCTCATTTAGTCACTAATCGTGTGTTACTAATTTTCTCAATACTCAAACTAAGGCACCTGTGACTAGACTCAAAGCTGTATAAAGTGTTCACCACTGCAGTAAGATACAGTGGGAACAGTGCTTGAAGTGTGTGCAATGAAACTGTTAAATATGCTTGACATCAAGAGTTGTCAAGATAGGCACCCAGAATTAGTCTCAGTCTCTCTTTGTTCTCCACTTTCTTACATGAAAATAATAGTATAACCTAATCCTGTAAAGATTGTGAAAAAGAGCTTCGCTAATATTTGCAGGGCAGTAGGTTCCATTGCAGTGAGTGATGAATTATGCACTTAAGCTAGAAACCTGTTTATCTTTTGTAGAAGAACACGTATTACTTTTATTTGTATTTAGGTCTGACCCTGCAGAAGATTTTCTGTTCTTTTTCTTATTTAAATTAAGTTAGAATAGAATTCTTAGTATAGTGATCAAACAGCCTGTGGGAAAATATATAATAATTATGCATCATTGTTCGGTCCGACATAGTTACAAAGTAACAGAACCTATCTGCCTTTTGAAATGAAAGCATTAAACAAAAAAAATATGCTGAATATCTCATGTCTTAATCTTCATTCTGTTTTATTTACTTAAGCTCCTCTTTGGAGTAGTATCTGAAAACTTTACAGTCTTTGTTACTTAACACTCAGAATGTTCGTATAAACTAAGGAAATAATATAATCCCGATTTTATGGACTTGGAGGTAAAAGATCGTCAAGATAAGCCCATGCACATTAGAGTACATCCTTGTGTGAAAGTTAGGGGCTTCAATTTCGAGCTTATAGGTGCCAGCCTTTAGTTTGAACTCCAGACCAAGCTCCTTATATTGTGAATGACACCTCGGTGTCATCCAAACCAGCCAGCCAGGTAGGCAGAGTGTTGCAGACCGTCCCCTGCCGTAGCCCTCTGCTAACCAAGAGGGAATTTGCAGAGGCCAGGGGTAAGCCTGCAATGGTGACCCTAAGGTTCCTCCATACGTTTCCCGTTCAGTGGCTGTGGGGTGAAAGGCAGAAGCAGACCCAGCATTTGAAGGTGGCTGACATGCTTCGGCAATGCCTGTTGCCTCAAAGCCCCTGAGAGAGAGACCTGGGCAAAGGCACGGGTAATTTCTGCGCTGTGTTCCAGCTCAGGGGTGGCCTCGGTGTCAGCCGTGTGGCACTGGCACTCCAGAGCTGCTCTAGGCAGGCAGAGACGCACCCAGGAAAACTTCACAGGCAAAAGCCCCCTATATTTAGTGTTAGGCAGGTGGCAAATGAAAGTTTGCAGCATTGCGGTTTTTGAGCTTTGGAATGTGGGCTCCATCTCAGGCGCCATTAAATGCCTTTTCTGCATTTGCCAAAGACACATGTTGTAATGCAGTAAGCAATGCAGTAAGTTGAACCTTGATTTTTCTTGTATGTGCCTGTTTTTTTTTTTTTTTTTTTTCTTCCCTTCTGTTGTCCTGTTCCTTATTATGGACACATTTGGCCACTGTCAAATTGAATGATTTTTTGCATACTTGGTTGGCTGACTCTTTTTTTTCCTAATTTGCTGATACAGTCAACTGTGCCAGTAAAGCAATTATGCAAAATTGTGTATAAAGGTTTAATGATACAAAACAGTGTTCATCACAAATCTAATTGTGATTCTTACCATCCTTCCATAAACTAAAGGTTTTGAGATGTTGGAATTAAGGTCTCTGTGGTTAATACCTATTTTGTTAAAAAATATATTTCGTTTATCAGATAAGGGAACATCTAATGTACATATCCCTGTTAACCTTGGAAGGAAGCAATAAACAAAAATAGTAACTTGGAAGTGTTCAGATAATGGTTTATATGCTTTCAGGTGGTGATAATGAGAAGTCTGCTTTATTACATGTCTCATTAGGTTACAGTGTTACCTGTTTTACATTACAAATGATAACTATGTGTGGTTGACTGTTGTCGTGGTTTAACCCAGCAGGCAGCTAAACACCACACAGCCATTAGCTCACTCCCGCCCCCCCGCAGGGGGATGGGGAAGGAGAGTCGGAAAAAAGGTAAAAATTGTGGATTGAGATAAAGACAATTTAATAGGATGGAAAAGGAAGGGAAAATAATAATAATGATTAAAAAAATATACAAAACGAGTCATGCACAATGCAGTTGCTCCCCACCCACTGACCCATGCCCAGCCAGTTCCCGAGCAGCGGCTGTGCGCCCCCCGGCCAACTCCCCCCAGTTTTTTGTTCAGCATGATTTCTTATGGTCTGAAATAGCCCTTTGGGCCAGTTGGGGTCAGCTGTCCTGGCTATGCCCCCTCCCAGCTTCTTGTGCAGCTCCGGCCTCCTCACTGGCAGGGCAATGTGAGAGGCTGAAAAGTCCTTGACTTAGCGTAAGCACTGCTCGGCAACAACTAAAGCATCAGTGTGTTATCAACATTCTTCTCATCCTAAATCCAGAACACAGCACTGTACCAGCTACTAGGAAGAAAATTATCCCAGCCGAAACCAGGACAATTGTGCACTGAGTCTAATACGACGCAAAGATAAAAATATAGAAATGGAGATAGTGATAAAGCAGAATAACATGCCTGAATACTGAAAACAAAGACCTAGTGGGTTAAACCAGAACTGACAGGTAGAGTGTTTTGAGGTTTGATATCTGGTTTCCACTCAGGTAACTGAACTGGTTCAGGAAAAGAGCAGTAAAGCAATACCTGGTAATGCTTTCACTGAAGCCCAAAATTCCATTGACTTTTCTTGGTTCAGAATAGAGAATTTAGAAACACTTCATGTTTGTGTTGATATTTCCTGATTTCTGCCCTGCTGCTTTCCTCAGAGCCCTGGCTGGGATTTAATCCTACTGCAGAAAGTATTAGCGAGTCAGATATTATTATTAGGACTGACATTTAGTAATGTCTCATTTGTATCAGGTCATTATGTACTTCAGGGAGCGACCTTCTGCCGCAGCCGCTGGAGACAAAGCACTGCCTTGGCTACGTCCCCTCAGACTGCGTATGAGGAAAAAAAATCTCTTTTCTACCCCTTTCTTGCTTAACAGTTCTCATTAGCTGTCTGTCATCTTTGCAGTAAGGAAGTGTTAAGGACTGAGGACAGGGAATAATGTATAACCTGGCGGTGCTTTCTGCTGCCTGGCTGATGGGGAGAGAAGCTGGTCACACTTGGGTGCTGAATTGTGAAGGTGAGTTCTGTTCACTTGGGTGCTCCACCTAGTCAGATGTGTGAGCTGGTTTATCCTGAACACAGCAGTCTGTGGCTTGTACGAACAGTTTTAACTTACTGCTTTCTGAAAAGAGAGGCCTGAAGCAGTCATGGAGGTTTCAGGAATGTTAATTGTTTGTGTACATGAATGAGCTTATAAATGGTTGTTTCTGCAGTCTTCTATAGCTCATCGAGGGTAACTGTGTCGCTGCCAGAGAAAAGAAAAGAGAACGGTTATTTTTTTTTTTTTTCCTCCACAGTCTACTAATACTTCCAGGGCTCGATATAATGTGCCTTTAACAAACCATGAACTTCTCTCCTACTGAGCCACTGCATCCTGCCTACATTCAGTGTAGGCAGAGAACCATTATACTAATCCACTCTCCCATCATATCTCTAGCAAACACATGTAAGTATTTTTCTTTGAATATTTATTTCGATGCAAGGGGTGTTAAGTCTTTTATCTGGCGACACAAACAAGTAGGAGATTGTGACTTCTCAACTTTGTAACCTAAATTGTGGAAGTTCTGGTTTTCGTCTGTGACATATTTTGACAAACGTGTGACAGTCACATTTGGCTTTAAGAGAATAATCCTGCCACCTCACAGCAACCTTAAGATAGTTCACCTCTGCAGGTAGGGTAGCTTTAAAATGGGGATGCTGAAATGATCAGTGTTTTGCTTTGTTTTTTAACAGGTACGGTTATATGCAAGGCCTGATGCAATCCGGAGAGGATCGGGGGACTATGCTCTAAATATTACAAGGAGACTCATTGAATTTTATGAAGATTATTTTAAAGTGCCCTATTCCCTGCCAAAATTAGGTAAGATTTTCCTTAGAACATGAAGTTCACCCAGAGACGGGAAATTAAGTCAGCTTTTTTAAAGGAAATTTAAGACTGGAACGTACTAGATTTCAAGGTAAGAAATGTTTGGGTTAAGAAGGAATGTTTGTTTAGAAGGATCAATAAGTAAGGAATTTTTCATCTCTTTTTTGCAGAGGAAGGGAAGTCCAATTGTCCCTTTTCCAGCCTTGCGCTGAAAGCAACAAGAAGCAGACAGTACTAAAATTTGTTAGGCAGTGGGACTTCAGGGAGAGAACTTGATAAGTGGGTTGGTTTTTTTTTTGGATGCTGTTTATTTTGGTCCTTTCATTGGATAGCCACTGAGAGATGTTTGTCCCGTAATATTTCTATCTTGATGCCTCAGCCTTAGGTGAGGAGCAGAATTGAAAGCATTTGTGGAAGCTGGGAACGTGTAACGGTGCAAGGCAGTATTTTTTCTTTGCTGGTTTATGTGGTTTATTAATGATGATTAGTACATATGCTTAATTGTGTTGTTGCTTATTGAAAGAATTGCTGTGAACTTGTTTTGCTGCTCAAGTGACCTAAATGTAAAAGCTGTCGATTTCTATTATTTTTTAAATAGTTTGTTCTCCTCCTCCCTTTCACCACAATCAATTGTTCTCCTACACACTTGAATACTTTACACCATATTATTACACCCTCCCTCCTTTGGAGCTTGTTTGGTCAAGATCCAGAAAAGCGTATTGCTCAGCAGCGGGAAGAGAGCTTGTATTTGATCAGAAGTGTTAGAGTTGGAACCACAGGTGATCTTCCCGGGAACTCAGGGTCTATTTCATTAAATCCCTTGCCTACTGAGTAGCTTTATTAGTCTTACAGCTAATGGTGTAGGACATAGATAGAGTAATTGATGTTGCTAGATGAGGGTGTTGCGTGAATTTTTAATACGAAAGTTGTGGCATTTGTTTCTTGTCATCTTTAAATGATGGGTTACAGGCAGCATTCTCCTGCAGAAATACACAGATGGGTTAAATGTGGCACGTGAATCAGACTTTGTGTGTGCTTCAGGTATGTAATGATGATTTCATAAAGGAAGTCACAGACTTGCCGGTGCCAGAAACTTAGGAGGAAAAAAAATAATAAAAAACTTTCCGTGGAATATAAAGGAAGAACAGTGGGACTCCAGTCATTGCTTCAGGTAGTTTACTGAGGATGCCAGGTAGCAGCAGGCAGTAGTGACTGTATCTGCTTCAGGATATCTTTCACAATTGCAACATAGTCTTTCAACTCAACACGCTGTATGTGTTATCATTATGCTGTGGCATATCTTTTAAAAATATCTCATGGGAAACAAGTATGTTCCGGTTTGGATCTCTTTGGAATACAACAGGAGGAATAGTCACAAGTAAAACTGTATTTTTTTCCATCAAGTATTTGTAGTAAAATTGTTGATTTAATATGAAAAATGGCTTGAAAACTTTAGTTATTGTCTAATGGTATTATAGGAAATAATTTGCAAAGTTTGTCATGCTATAATAAGGTTAAATTTATTTAATGTAACTATAATAAGGAAAATTTCAAAACCCTCTGTGATGTAATTTTTTTTGAAAATTTGATTTGCATATGAACGTAAGGTATGTTTGTTCCCAGTTCAGCAGAACACTAAGATCACTACTTTTAAGCATGTTCTAGTGTTTCTAACCTGAAGGAGTGCCGAATATGTTTTTTACTTTTTTTTTACTGGAAAATGGAAGGTTAGGGACAATAGTCTGATGGGTGAATAGAAAGACTAAAAATGAAAACACTGTAATCTTTTTGTGATAGTGATTTTGCAGTAGTTTTAAAGAATTTTCTGAGGGAGGGGACAAAACAGAATTAGCCACAGCAGTGGAAGGAGTGTGCATCAGGAGGCTGCGTTGATACAGACAACACACCTGTGCTCTCTGAAGCCTCAGGACTATCACCTGAGACGCTGCTGTCACCGCTGCAAAGGACTGCGTGCTTCATTAAGGTTTTAAGAAAAATCAGAATTTTCTGTGTGGGACATCTTAGGAGTTTTTCACTTTATTTATAAACGAAATATGAAATGCCTTCAAGTGGGAGTGAAAATTGAAGAAGGTAGTTTAAAAAGCTTTTTAATGACAGCGTCAGTTTTGTGGAAATGTTCTATTTCAAACATAGATGTTTTAAAAAATGAAAAAAATTGTTCCATATATTTTCTAGTTCTAGCAAGAGTGAACTAAACCAAACATAATTATTTTTGGTTGAAAATACATTTTATTTTTTCAAAAGAATTCTGCTGTTGAAATACTGACCAGCTTAATATGCAGGTGCTGTATGAGCTACTGGGCAATATGTCAGTGTCAGCGCTGGATGCTGGGGTGTCTGTGTGAGGAGAAAGGACCTGCAACCCTTGGCGAAGCACTGCCATTGTCTATGGGGTCCATCCATTCCAAGTTTCTATATGGTAGGAGTATCTGAGGACATTCAGGTGCTTCAGATGTGTGCTGTATGTTTAGATTGGAGATTAGGAAATTTTTTTTCAATGAAAGGGTTGTTAAGCATTGGAATGGGCTGCCCATTGGAATGGGAAGTGGTTGAGTCCCCATCCCTGGAGGTATTAAAAAGACGGGTAGACAAGGTGCTTAGGGACATGGTTTAGTGGTGGAATGGCAGTGTTAATGGTTAATAGTTGGACTTGATGATCTTAAAGGTTTTTTCCAACCTAAACGATTCTATGATTCTATATCAGAGGGGACCTGTGTTCATTTGTTCACTTCTTATATCACTGAGGTCCATTTCCATGGTTCTTTGGCATTTGAAAGTAGTACTCCTCATCTGAGATTGTAATAAATTGGCTACTGTCTCTGATAGGAACCACTTTCTCCTGATGTTCTTGACTACTTGATTGGTTTTGACCAGGCTTTTTTACTGTACTTACATGCAGTCAGATGTCTGTGGTTGCTGTTGCCAGTTGTGGGCTCCTCTGCCTTCTTGGCAGCCTCTGTTACTATTGGGAACTGTGGAGAATCTGGGGGAACCTTTTTGTCACCCAGTGACTGAGATTTTTTAGGTCTTATATGGCCTGTACTGACTTCTTAACACACTGGAACAGTAGATCTGTTTGCCAATTGATGTGAGTTCTGGTAATGAATCTGAATTGGGGATTTTTCTCATTTGAATACACAGTTTCCACAATTAAAAGTTCTGCTTAGCTTGTAGATACGTGCTGTTTTCCTGCATCATACTCTGAACTGGAAGGTGCTTGTGTAGGGTTTTAAACTAATAATTTTTGTATGAATTTAATTTCTGAAAAATTAGTCAGGTCTTTAAAAAACCCAGATTTTTCAAAGACTACAATATCATTATAAAAACTAGTTAAAATGGTGGGTGGATAAAGCATTGGGTTTTACTTAATTCTAAAAAAAATATGCAGTAGGGTTTTTAATTGATTTTCTACAGCTGGTGAATATAAAATATATTTCTGTATTTTTATCACATATTTATTTTTAATCCAGTTTGCAGTACACAAAAAAAAGGTCTTTGTGTGCGTAGAGCTTTTTCTTATGAGGATCTTCGAGACTGGAATAATTTCCCAATGGGGAATGATTAGGTAAGCAAGAACTCTTTACATGTGGACAGTTGTGACTCTTCAGGTGTGAATGATTTGGGGTGGAGGTGCTAACTGCTTTTTCCAACCGAGACTTAAGGGCCACCCAGTGAAGTTAGCAGGAGATGTGCAGAGAACATAAAAAGATCACTGTTACTGCAGCAGGTGGTAGATTGGTAGATTTCAGGCACTGGAACAGGCTGCCCAGGGAAGTGGTGGAGTCCCCATCCCTGGAGGTATTTAAAAGATGGGTAGATGAGGTGCTTAGGGACATGGTTTAGTGGTGGGACGGCAGGGCTAGGTTAACGGTTGGACTTGGTGATCTTAAAGGTCTTTTCCAACCTAAACGATTCTATGATTCTATGATTGGCGAAACTTCTTGTCAGAAGAGACTGCAGATGCAAAAACATTATACAGGTCCAAAGAGAGACACGGACAACTACTTGGAGAGGTGGTCCATGGGAGAAAATCCCATGCTTTGAAAACAGAAGCTAGGAAATACTCAAGAGAGTTCTATTTATATTTCCCTGATTTTACTCTTTCTTGAACTTCTGCTTGTGGCTGCTGTTGGAGAGGAGAATACAGAGCTAGGCAGTCTTTTTGCCTGAGCTGGCAAGGTTATCCATATGTTCATAGTCTTCCAGTTTCCCAAGTGTTTCTACTAAAGGGCCACAGAATCTCTTTTCCAGAATACTTCATGTACTGGAACTGGGAAACTTCAGTTATGGAAGACTGATAAAACTTCATGTGTGGTACATAAACGAGCCACTTGTGTGAAGATTTTTGGGTTTCTGGGCCTTGGTTTTCCTCCCCTTAACAACACTCTAGTATCACAGTGTTAGTGGGATGCATTTGCTGCTTTTCTGAAAACTCATTTATACAACTCTCTTATTCTGACACCCACGTGTTTAGTGTAACCACTGTGGGCTGTATAAAGGAATTCGGGTGTCTTGAGGGTCAGACACACAGTGCCTAACTCAAAAGCACTTTGCTTGGATTTGTTCAGCTTTAGGCACTCAACTGGCATGTCTAAACTAGCAAGCTGATTGCCCTACGTTCCTTACTTCATAAGTGGAGAGGAGATCTTACTGTGGATGTTTCAAATCTTATATGGGCAGACTCTCCTTTTGGAACTGCCTAGGTAAGGGAAAAAATATTTTATTAACCATTAGCAAGTTTGGTGATGGTACCAAACTGGGAAGTGTTATTGACTCTCTTGGATAGATTGGAGCATTGGGCAATCATCAGTGGCATGAAATTTATCAAGTCCAAATGCTGGATTTGCATCTAGGATGGAGTAATGCCAGGCACAAGTATAAACTGGGAAAGGGGTGGCTGGAGAGTAGCCCTGCAGAAAGGGATCTGTGGGTGCTGGTCGGCAGCAAGCTCAAGAGGAGTCAGCAGCGTGCCC